AATTAAAATTAATAATATAAATTAATTAAAAATAAATTTATATTTCTAAATAAAATATTATCAAAAAATTATGTGCAAAATATGATCCAACGAAGTGTTAAAATTTCGAACCCTATGCTATAAATCACTCTTTAAGGCTATTTTCAATGAATTATTCAATGAGATCATTATGTTGGGTATGTAATGTGGGCGGTGTTATTGCCACAGCTTCACAGGTTAACACCACAGCTTTTTTAATTAATTGACCATTAACCCACGCGGAGAAGGTGGTGATTGCTGCAAGTTGGATTCAAATGAGGGGTAAAATAGTCAAATAATTAAAAAAAGCTGTGGTATTAACAGTAGTGGCTGTGGCAATAACACCACCCATGTAATGTTGATGGGAATTATTTACCGAGAAAACAATTCCATCAACATCAATACATCATTAATTTGGGCTGATAATAAAAAAAAAAACAATGTCAATTACTTGGACTTTGGAAGCCAGTATATATTGACTTTATTTTTATATATTTTTTGCCATAAGCCAATATGTATTGACTTTGAAAATGAAATTCCAACCGTAACAAAGAAGATTAGGAAATGGAAAATGACGTTTCAACAATCAGGAGGTAACACACATCAAAATGTTTAGGAGTCTAACTACAGATAATGAGTTCTAACTGTAATAGTCCCATGACACAGCAATCTGATTTACACCTTTTCTTCTTTTTGAACCTTTGTTTATAATTATATTACCCATGTTAGTGTACATTAATGGTTGAATGCCTTTTTAAAATGGAAATAAAGTAAATGGGAAGTATAGCTGAACCCACGTTTAGGTATGAGAATAAATATCTTGTCTTACAATGAAATTTTACGATAATTACATCACTGTCAAATAAATGAATGTATATTAATTTACACGTTTTGTTAAATAAAAAAATCAACTATAATTAATGTTAAGTTGAATTATTATAAGACATTTAACAACAATTCCGTCATTATCAAATTAGTGAATGTATACTAATTAATATGTTTTGTTGAATTAAAAAAATCAACTATAATTAATGTTAAATTAAATTATTATAGGAGAGTATGATATAGATGGTGTGCGAATCATTTTTTTTTTTTTGTTGCATAATGAAAAGTAATCATATTTCATCTCTTATCTTATTCTATTCATATATTATGCGATTCGAACTCAAAACCTCTTATTTTTAATGAAAAGAGATGACCACTGAATTATTTAAATTGTTGTCATGTTGTATGAATCATTTTCACCTAACATATAATAGGATTTGGCATTTAGATAAAAGAGCACGCCAAAGTTATTTTTGGCATTGCCAATACGATGATTTGATTTCAAAGTGGTTTCATTGGATTCCAATTCTTAGCATGCTTTTTCCTGTCGAGTTTTCATGTTAGTACTGAAAATAATGGTTTCCTTCTATCGAATCTGTCCCCACCACACAAGAACATTGAAATCCATCATAATGTGTATGCATGTATTATAAATTTAAATCTTGAGGGAGGCTTAAAATTCAACAAATTTTGCTGGATTTTTAAATCTTTTGATCATTACTTGGATATATGTATGCTTTTAATTGCTTATTAATTAACTTACTCCACACTTTTCATGATAAACAATTAGACATTTCAAGTCAATGCAAGAGCATCAAAGTATTACTTCCGTCTAATTTCCAAAGAGGGGGTTTCTCTCACCCCTTATCTCCTCTTTTGACTTCACTTAATCTAGTTTAAGAACTTACTTAACCTCCAATTATTAATTCTAACAATAATTTATCCAATTGGAAAATCATGAAATCCAGTTATGTTGTGCACAATAAGATTGATTTGGAAGTTTAGAGAAACAGCTAATTCAACACTCGTAGTCAAAAAATTAGGCAGCATATCATGCGGAGTGTATTCTTCAAAAAAATTTCACATGTTCACACTTTTACAAATTAACTTAATGTAATGTGTATAATTTCATCAACTAATAAATAAACACAATCGTTTAACTCAAGATTCACATTTTGGACCTAACATAAAATTTTTTAAATCCAAAAAAACCTAATGTGATAAGTATGTTCATAAATTAACTCTATAAAAGATTAATCTTGTAATATGCAAAAGTCGTTTAACTCAAGATTTAAGTTTTAGACCTAACATAAAATTTTTTAAATGCGAAAAAAATTAATGTGATAAGTTTGTTCATAAATTAACTCTTTTTAAATGCGAAAACAACTAATGTGATAAGTATGTTCATAAATTAACTCTATAAAAGATTAATCTTGTAATATGCAAAAGTCGTTTAACTTAATGTTCAAGTTTTGGACCTAACATAAAATTTTTTAAATGCAAAAAAAACTAATATGATAAGTATGTTCATAAACTAACTTATAAAAGATTAATCTTGTAATATGCAAAAGCCGGTACTAAAACACCATAACCGTTCAATAAAAAAGGAACTTACTTTCAGAATATGCCTTTACTTGTACACACAATACGGCTAATACTCTGAGGAAACAAACAGACGATCTGATTCCAAAAGAAATCATAGAGAAAACAGAACAACTAACAATGAACACAAATAACATCCTCTGGCTCTGCGGTTCACAGATGTTGCTCCAGAGATAGTGCTCTCACATAGTCAGATTAAGAGAAAACAACTGTTAAAATCAAATTCTATGTTGTAACTCATAAGCAACATTTATGAGGAATACATTAATCACATTATTAAGTTAGAACATCAGAAGAATGCCCGGCTACCATAAAACACCCGCGATCCATCCTTCTTCTTCTCCTGCTCTACATTCTTGCTACGGTTTTGAATGGCCTCACTGCGGTCTTCGCATTCCGGTTTGCCAAGTTCCATTGGGAGTTTCATCTTGGCTAAGGATTCTGTAAACTGTTGCATACTCCTCATGTACATGTCCACAATCTGCTGTTGCATTGCTGTTTGTTCTTTCTCCAGATTGATGTTTCCTAGTGGAGCTGAAAAAACCGGTCCGAATTTCACAGAATTCATGTTCCCTTCCTTGTTCTTTTCTTCTTCTTTCTTCTCTTCCCTTGTTCCACTTCCTTTCTTTGAAGTTGGGGTGTCCGGAGAACCCCCCACGCCCTGGTTTGCCTCGGTGGTGACTGATGTTTGGAAAGAATTGGAACCCTCGCCGCCAAGGCGGCTCTTTCTCTCCCCAGAGTCAGCCGAGTTCCGATCATCACTTAAACTTGTTGTAGTAGAACTAAAAAACCCAGAATTCTGAATGCTTCCATTCGGGGAAACAGAGCCGCCGTTGTTTTCTTGGTCGGATGAATTCACCGTCATTTCGTAATCGTCAACAGGGTGATGAGAGGCACCAAGATGAAGGAAAGAAGCAACTCCGACTGGACCAGGCCTTGGATTCAAACCATCAAAGTACTCCGAAATCATCTTCTGATTTTCCCTAACATCATTGATGTCAGGAAATTCGATCCTGGAAAACTCAACAGGGTCGAAAAAATTTTCAGTATTCTTTCTATCGAGCAGCACAACCTCGGATGATATGGAAGAGCTACTGGTGGTTTCCGTGGAGGGTTTGATGGGCACAGAGGTATTCAGGGAAAGAGTCAGTTTGACAGTTCCGGCGGGGGAATGAAGGAGATCTGTGGAGGAGAGGCTATAATCTTGAGAGACTTTTCCTTTCCCAGCGACTTCTGAAACCTGAACCAGAGTAAAACCCAGAAGCTGATCCTCCATGTAGTTTCTGATTCTGCTAAGCATCCAAATTTCACATTTGAGGACAGAATCGGGTTGGGTGACTTTCATCATCAAGCCTTCGTTAAAATCAGGATTCTTCCCTCCTCTTGTGATAGTTCTTGTGGAGATTGTCTCATCAGGGTTGTAAGTGAGGGAGAATTTGGCATAGACATCCTGCTCCTCGTAGATGCATATGTTGTGAATATTCCTAGCATGATGAACATAAATGTCCAGAATTCCAGAAAACTCGGAACTGCTATCCGAATCTGGACCTGGATTGTAACAGAAACTAGAAGACCCATTGAAAGAATCCATTGGATCAAAACAATGTTTTGCTTTTGATGATGATAGACACAGAGTTCTATGCAGAGTAAAAAAAAAGAATCAAGAATGATATATCAGCCTTCCATATCTCGATTCCACGACCTTTCTAGGTTGTATTTTTCAGAAGATATCGAGAAGAAGAGTGAATGATTTGATGGAAATCTTAAAGCAAAAGAGGAATTTGGAACAAAGCAAAGGACACAGAGAACAGAACAGAACAAGAACAGAGTTGATTCAGAAGCAATGATGCATCCAAAAGCTACTGTTTATGGTTCTACAATCCTTCTGGGTATTGCCTTTCAGTTTTTTGAGTGAACCAACAAATTAGTCCATAAATTCAAGGAGACAAGCATGGAAAGCCAAAAGGAAAAAGCAGAAATCTTTGCAAGTAAGTGAGAGAGAGGGACTTACGGTTGAATTGAGAGCTTCCTTTGTGCAAGTTGAGAAGATGGGATTGTAGTAGGTGAGAACCAGAAGGAGGAAAAAGAAGAAAAAATCAAAGAGTATGACGCTGATGATGACGATAGAATTGATGTTTTTTATTCCACTTTTCCGAACATGCCATGCTACTCCTTGTTCTGTTTTTGTGGTGGGTGAAGGATGAAGACTTTCTTCTCTTTTTTTTTCCCTTTTTTTTTTTTCTGGAAGTGTTGCTCTGCTTTGCTTGACATTGTAGCTTCCACTTCTAATGACTAAATTTTCTCCACTGACGAAAATGGAGGACCCACTCGGCCCCAATCTTCATTATCACCCACCTTCCTTCTCTTATGATGCCCACCCATATCTTCAGAGGCATTAACAAATCAAGTATCTCGACAGTAGCAAACCAATAAATTCACTTCGGATGCAACAGTAAAGGACTGAAGGCATTTGTTTCGTTGGGTGATTCATTTATTTGTCATCCAGGGAAATTAAATTCCTCCATATTTGACTGTTTCCACAACGGTAATGAGTGAACTAAACTCCATCCTGAGGATGAGGAAGTTAAATAGAATGAATCTTGAAGATACAATCATACAACAAACCAGGATCCGGCCACCACCAAGAAGTCATTCTCTGGTGGTCCACACTACCAACTACTGTCATTATTTTGATTCGCAAGAGAAAGGAAAAACTGTACAAAGGTTCTGGTCTCCTGGTTATGCAGGCGCTTCACATGAAAGGGAATCACGTTCGTCCCAACCTCATCAAGCGCTCTTGATGTTTTGCTGCTGCTGCCTTATCAGCAGCTTCACGCTTGAGTGCCCTCTTTGCTCGGCGCCCAATTGGATTTTTTGCAACCTCTTTCTTCTTAGGCTCTCGTGATGAACCAGCACCAGAGTCCTGGAAATTGGGTCGAGGGACTGGCCTAGCTTCTTGACGCCCTGCCCTAACAAAACCATTATCTCCCCACCTTCTATTGCCAATGCGAAGACTTGATGAATTGGTATAGTAAACTTCTTCATCTTCGTCCTCCTCATCTTCATACTGATAGTAATCTTCTAGATCATCATATGCCTCTTCATGATCCACCACAACCATAGGTTTAAACCATGTGGCTCTAAGAAGCAGGCAAACACTCTCCTCAAACATGTAGTCATGAATCCTGGTAACAGGAAAAGTGAATTTTGAAAGGCGTACACATAATTCAATTATTCACCAATTAAGTGTATAAGAAACACCAACTATAATTGCCAATTGAACAATATATTTAGTTCCCAAACGGATAGAAAGCATTAACCGAGTAAGGACTGAAAAAACTACCTGCCATCAAGGGAGCGATGGACATTGAGGAACTCAAATGGATATTTACACTGTGGACAGGTAGGTGTCTGATTATACACAGCCCATCGAAGAATACATGTCACACTGCATCATTAAAGATCCAAAGAACAACATAAGTACAATAAACCATACCCTGTTAGAGAATTAATAATATCTTTACATTCCCGTATATGATGCTCAAATATTGACAGTACTCATTGTCTTCACACCATAAATATGAGGATATTGATCATTGACACAATGCCATGAGGTATCATCCACAACAAATACACCTCACTCATAAGACTTTGAAGCATTTTGCAGCTTAGAACAAGAAAAATCAATAGCTAGACACCCACCATATGCTGACAGAGTTAAGAATTCAATCAATCATCACCTAAATCTATGGCTGAAGCCAAATCTTCCTCATTAAGCAGTCATACATATAATGAGGCATAACACAACAACAGAAAGCAACACCCAATAAGTAGTTAAAGAGTGTAGACAGAGGGTGAGCCAAACTAAATTTTTAACCTGAAAATTTATGGGGTGTCCATAAAGAGCAATGAACATAATTAACATAACTTCCAATTAAATTCTGGCAACATGCTCCCTACAACATTTAAACCAAGGCTTTGATGGTCATGGAAAACACATGCACTTCTTAATTTGTTCCCCAACTGTGAGGAAATGAGAAGAACTCATAGCATAGATTCAAGTGATCACAATCTCTTAAAGCAAAAGAATGATATGCAAGGAAAATGACCAAATATAATACAAGAAAACAAACGGAGTAAAGAAAGCAGCAATTCATTACTGTAAGGCTGCCACAATCTTTCATGACCTGCATATCTTCTAACTATTAGGCACACCAACTTCATATTGGGAATTTCTTATTATGAACGCTAACAAACCACACCCCACCCTTCCCACAACCCTAAGCTAAGCTATAAGGAACCAAATGGATTCTAGAGAGAATGAGAGCTACAAGACCAGAATCAGGAGAGGCAAAAAGAGAACTCCACAAATTTATCAACTTAAACAACATGCACACAGAAAGAAAAACTGAAAGTTCGAAACAGATGAGCACATGCAGAAGAAGTTCAAGGTCCCCAATAATAGTGAAGCAAATAATTCTATGCACCAGAAGGACAATGCATTAGAGATAGAGACCAACAAAATACAAAACCTCCGACCACCCAAAACCGAAAAACTGAAGCAGAATCACCATCGGCCATTAAACCCATTAACATCTAATAGTTTCAAATTGCAAATATGGCCAATGATGAGCATTTTCATTGAAATAACAATGAAACAAGAAGGAGATTGGTTAGACAAACCAGTAAGCATGCTCGCAACCTTTTACGAGAGCAGTTTCCTGCAGCACAATCTTATCTAAGCATATTGCGCAAATGCCACTATGGTTTTCACAACCCTGTTCATCAATCACTGCTTTGCTCTTCATTTCCCTCTGAGAATAACAAGAAAATTCACTAATTTGAGTTCTAAACCAGAATCCCTCCCCTTTTTTTTTTCTTGGGAAGAATGCAAAATTCTTTAATCACCCGAATAGATTCAATTCCTTCACGTAGCAAATCAACAAGATATGCTTAAAGAAATTAAATACCTCCCGTAACTACAACATATAGTCAAACCACACTTAACACGTTTTCTTTTCTTTGTTTGGCTACCAAGAAAATATAGAAAAGTAAACGAATTCAAAAAAAGAGATTAACATCTTGTACGTCAAGCAACAAATTAAACCATCAGATTCAAAAATTTTTCCCAGTCGTCGTCTTATTCCACCCATCTTCCCATTTTCTCGGAAACCAAACAGAGATCATAAGGATAAAAAAGAACAACAAAAATCAATTCATCTTTCTCCTCCTTAAAACCAACACATATCCAATAGATCTGCTCCAAATTAAAGCAGTAGAGTACCTGATCTTGAAGCGAAAGATCACGAAGGGAATTGACCAGCTCCTGCTCGCCGTCGATCGTGACGACGGAAGTCATGGTGACGGAAACAAATTTCGACTACAAAATCTTAAAAAAAAAAAAAAAAAAAAAAACTGAAATTATTATTATTTGTTTCAAATTTACAACCCCTAAGAACAGAAACGTTTTCTTCTATAACTATAAGAAGGAAAAGGTGATAAAAAAGGGTTAGAGATGCTAGAGAATATTTCTGTTTGATTCCCGGGAAAGGGAAAGGGAAAGGG